AAACATGGTGTGCTTATAAAGAGGTTTTCATATGATGTGCTTATAGAGGGGGTGACTATAAAGAGGGTTGACTGTATTTCTAACGGAGATATGCACGTGCTCCTGACTTTAAAATGCCTTAAGATTTAACTAAAGGAATGTTGGCTATGTTCCTTCGATATTACTGTAATAATATCGACAGTAAATATAAAAATTTAATAAAAATAAAAACAATGATATCTCTTATAAAATAGCAATTAATTTATTAATATTAATATTAAATTAATACGTTAAACTACGGTATATTGATATTAGTAAAAATTTTGGATTTTAGTTGCTTAAATTATTAAATTTAAAAATGCGAATGGAAGCTTGAGATACTGTTAAGTTAAATTTTGGCCAGTTTTAATGTATCACATAGACTATAATTTTTTAAAACCGTTTGTTTGAGTATACAAGGCTTCCCAGACAGATTTTGAGCTAATCTCAAAGTCGACTCTTTGCTTATCTGTCCACCGATATGCAACGACACATTTGCACCACATATGATTAACAAGGAAGCTTAAACTGCCACTCTCGGTCAATTCGGAGACCACTTTATGTAACGCAGAAAAAATTTTTTTCTTGTCATACTGAATAAGCGTAGATGCCTTGGGGCAAACAAATATACTCTCTTTAAATAACTGCTTTTAAGCTACTCGCTGTTGAGAACCACTCAGTATGCTCGCTTCTTGTATTAATTCGAAGTTGGTTTTAGCGTTTTAAAATATACAGTTTACCTATTCTAATAGAATGCTTGGGGTGATTGGCGATTCAACAAGAGAGTGATCCAAAATACACGAGTTGTCTTGAAGTTCTTGCAGGAGAATACTTCAGAAATTATAGACTAACCTTTCAACAGTCTAGATGTAGCATGTAGAAAAGCTAATGTCAAAAATTCCGATGAATTGAAAAGGTTTATGGCGAAGGCGTGAAAACATATTCCTGAAAACATTCATAATTAGTTTGTCGGGCGACGTTGCGAGCCTATAATTTGAAAACAATTAATATTAAGAGCAGATTTCTTATTAATTTACTATCAGATGAATTTGGTTGTTTATCTTTTAAATAAAGTCTTGTTTATGGAAATTGGTTAAACGTTGGCGAAATTAAAATGTCCGGGTTTTTTTGTTACATACTGTATATACGTATAATTACCCACCGTTGGTCTGTAAAAGATGTGAATACACCGAGTAATACTGCTGCCGATTCATTAGATTTTCATTAGATTTATCAAATAAAAAATTTCATCTGATGCTTAGAATTTAGCTATTTATTCTAATGCACTGATATAATGAAAGGCTTTCAATAAATGAATGAATGTGACATATTGCTGTTGCTATTCAGAGCTTGATCTCTACAAAACGAAAAAGTACCCTTGTAAAATATGATTCGCAGTTGTTATTTATTTGGGTGTGCAAATACTCATCATCCCAATTTTTCGGGTACACACGTGATATAATATCCGATGAACTTGTAACAATAGCATACATAAAATTGTATGTTACACGATCAACGTTTGAATCTGTTATTCATTAAAAAAGCAAGCATATACATAATACATTCGCTTATATTACTTCTTCCATTACGGCCGATATCTTCTCGTTCATCGTATTAAGAGCCAAAGAGTTTAGACAAGAGATTGCATTGAATATACTCACAATTAAGAAATTAAAGACATCCTAATACTAATAACTTAAAGCAGGAACCATTGTCAGACGATTTATTTATATCGCATTCAATACCTACTCTTCGCCCATCCCGAATCACTCTTTTCGCAGCCTAAACTTAGCACATAATTTCTCATTAATTGGCAATTCTTTCTCCCCGATATTCTTTTTTCAATCCTCTTTTCCCTCTTTCGCTTTTAGTACCATCATTTCTCGAATTCCTTTATAATATATCTACACAAAACATGTCAACTCCCCCAACACACGTTCCTTCACCAAAACCTCCAAAGAGAAAATATTCGTCGCCATCACCATCACCTTCGAAACGCATACTGGCAAATTCATCCTCACTTCCCTCTAGCTCAATACGCTTGCCCCCACGAACTAATAATCACAACCAAACATCATCGTTATCGATGACCACAAGTTCGAACGCATTACCGCCGAGCAAGCGGATAAAATCAGATGACTCGGGAAGAGAAGATAACGGGGTTAAGATTGAAGATAGAGAGAGTGATAGACGATTGGGAATAGCACGAATTGGGACTGGACCTGGAAAGAAGAAAAATGCGGGAAAGGTTGGAGGGGAAGGGAATGTAGCAGAAAAAGGTGAAAAGGTGAAATCAGCTAAATCGAGTGGGATGGAAAGATGGAACAAAGACATTCCACCGCGCATTCCAAATGCTACTACAACGATAACGACGACCACGACAACGACCACGACAACGACCACGACAACAACCACGACAACAACAGCAGAAGCAGCAGCAGCAGCAGCAGCAGCAGCAGCAGCAGAAACAACAGCAGAAGCAGCAACAGCAGAAGCAGAAGCAACAGCGACGGTAACAGCATCAGTTCAAATACCTTCGTCAAATAAGAAAACTTTAACAAACCGGCCTCGCGTAAATTTAGCTAAAAAGCCCAAAGCCAAATTATCTCCTCAGTCTACAGCACCTTCATCCACAACATCATCCACATCATCGTCATCACCATCCACATCGTCATCTTCATCTTCTCACAAAAAACGCTCTTCTTCTCCACAATCGAGAATATCTTCATCATCTCCCAAGTCAAAACTCTCCTTGTCATCTCCACTTGCTTCTTCTTCCCCGCAAGGACAACAGCCTAATGACCTGGAAATAGATCCGAAACGGAGTTTAAGTTCAAACTTTGAGGATGAACAGGACGAAAAAGTTGAAAGTGAAGCTAGTGGTGATGAGGAAGTGAAAAAGATTGGAAACGGCAAAGTGCATAATGGGGTCAATAACCGGACAATGGGAGGGACGAGCAGCACTGACGATCACAGCGATTGTCCTTCGACTCCAGTGAAACCCACACAACGTCAAAACTCAAAAAGATCACTCAAAACATCGACTTCTACAAAAAATTCATCAAACGTTTCACGATTATCATTAAAAGCGTCTCATTCCTTACCAAAAAATTCGACCTCTCGAGCGTCGGTGTCTCAGTCATCTCCGGCTGCATCACCTGTTCGAGAACGTACGGCTGTAACGGAAGAACGGGAAGGTATAATTAAAATGCGCATGGTTCGGAATGACGATTCTGAAGAGAGTTTGGTTCTGTTGACAGGGTTAAAATGTGTGTTTCAAAATCAACTGCCAAAGATGCCGAAAGAGTATATTACGCGATTGGTTTATGATCAGTAGGTGTTGCTATTTGATGGGGAGGGGGAGAGACATGAAAGTGGGGGAGGGATGGGGGAGATGTTGAGAGAAAACAAGTACAGGATTATGAAAACAGGACAGTTGCTAGAGCAAAAGTAAAATATGTAAAATTGTTTATCTTATAATCATAAAGCAAGTTATAATCTATTCATCTCTCATCCATCTTCCTCCACTTTCAGCGACCATCAAAGTCTAGCACTAATAAAACCTCACCCGGATGTATATAAAATAAAAATAGTCGGCGGTGTTACGTTTCGTCAGTTTCCTTCACAGAAGTTTGCCGAGATTGTTTTCTGTGCGGTTAATTCCATGGAACAGGTCAAGGTATGAAAGAGAGGACGTTTATGCTAGGGAGAGACTTGACATGGGAATGGCGAACGTTAAGCGGGATAGTTGATGTGATAGTAATGGTATTGTCGGAACAAAGTGACAGATCATTTCTTCGTTATCCATCTCAGCTAACACATTTGAAATGGTATTGTTTTCTTTTTTAGGGATATGGCAGCCATTTGATGAATCATCTCAAAGATTGGACCATAAAAAGTACTCCCGTCGAATATTTCCTGACGTATGCTGACAACTATGCAGTTGGGTTTTTTAAGAAGAATGTAAGTTCGTAAGCTGGGTGTAACATCAGAAGTGAGGATCATTCAGTGAATATGGACCATTTAATACTTGATTTAATTATCGTGATGCTTGCTAAAAATTTTATACGAAACTTTGCATTTATCAATTTATTGTTTACTAAAGGGATTTACTACAGAAATATCGTTTCCAGAAAGCATGTGGAGGGGGTACATCAAAGATTATGATGGAGCAAACATAATGCAGGTAATGATGAACTGGATTTGAAAGTGAACAAACTATGAATGTACAAATGGTCATAATAGTAATACAGAATTCATCATATTATTTCCAACTCACCCATCTAAAAATCTTGCATCTATGTGAAGTGCCAATTAATAAAGAAAGTTGAATATCTCAAGACCGATGAAATATTATCGAAACAGAAAGAAGTACGTATGTCAATACACATTTTTCCTTTGTATATTATTCATCATAATCATTCTCTCTTTCAATCTCAATCTCAACAAATACAAAGGCAATAAGAGCACGCGTATTCTCCAAATTGGATGATGATCTGAGGATATATAAAGGATTGTCTTTTGGTAAAAATGGAAAGAAAATTGATCCGATGGAAATTCCCGGGCTGAGTAAGTTAACAAAGAGGGCACGGGGAAAGTGAATGGAGAAAGGGTGGGTGGTAGAGTGTTTGGATGTAGGATTGATGTGTGGATGGATGCATAAGGCCGTGAGGTACTGTAGATTGGATTCTATTGTATCATGTTATCTTTGTATTTCTGATATTGATCTTTCTTCCTTACCATCTTTTAGAGGAATCAGGTTGGACACCCGAGATGGATAAGAAGTAAGCTATATTTTTGTTCATTGCTATGCTCGTGCTTTCGTTCTATAGCAATACTTATATAATTTTGCTTTCTTTTGTTCTTGTTTTTTTTTTCTTTACTGCTTTCATTTTTTTTTCTTTTTGCTTTCCTTTTTTCTTTTCTTTTCTTTTCTTTTCTTTTCTTTTCTTTTCTTTTCTTTTCTTTTCTTTTCTTTTCTTTTCTTTTCTTTT